AGGTAGTGCACGACCTACCTTTCAAAAAACCGTGTTGATGTTTATTGAGTAAGCTCATAGAACTCAAATATTCGATTACGCGTTCTTTAACTATCCTCTCCATGATTCTGGAAATAATAGATGTGTGGTGGATTGGGCGGTAATTTTTTACATCTTGCATGGATCCGCTTTTGTGCCTTGGTATTATAGTTGATTGTTTCCAGTGTATAGGATACTCCCCATTGAGCATGGAAAGTGTAAATACATTAGGCAAAAACAGGGGGATGTCTGGACCTCCGTGCTTTACCAGTATTGGAGGGATGTTGTCAGGGCCTGGTGAGCATGATGACCGAACTAATCTGAGTTGGCGACATATGTCACTAAGTGTAAATTCAACAGTTTGGAGTGTATTACTCCCTCTGTGTATCAGCTTGAGCTGAGGATCATCTTTCGCATTAGCGCCATAAGTAGACATAAAGTAGTCATTGAAGATCGAACATATGATTGCACCGTCGGTTATGGCAGTTCCATCAGAGTTTACAATGGTGTTTATACAACTTGATTTTCTATTCTGCCTACGGTCCAAAAGTTTTGAGATGCAGCCTAACACATTTGCGCCCTTCAGTGCCATTACTTCCTCAGAGCATAGCATTTTGTGGTGGTCTTGGTATAACGCTGTAAGCAATCTGGTGTGGAGCATCAGCAAAGTAAAATCATTAGTTTTCCTAAATTTTTCTTTATTTTATAAAGTTTAGTGGCTACCTTTTTTGAGATGCCTGCAGGAGCAGCAGTCTTTTTCAACTTCTTAGTACGTTCTGGAGCCACAGCTTCAACACAAAGCTGAATGCGGTGGTAGAATTCATTACAAGCAATTTGTACATTCTGTGCTAAGAAGAATGGATCCCAATATGAAGACCTTATAAGATCCGAGCAAATTGACCAATTCACAGAAGAGAATGGGCGGTAATTGATCACTGATTCTACCGGTTTAGAAAGAATTTGGAAAGAACAACCAACAATGTTATGCTCACTACCCGGCAACTTGTCACTGATGTATGTGGACACATGCGAACATCCCATCGTAAATATTAGATCAAGTGTGTTTCCAAGCCGTGTAGGTTCTGTGACGTGCTGTACCCATCCCAGTCGATCAAGAGTAGACATAAAAGGATTGTGTTTCTGTGGTTTATTGTTAAGGGACCATGGGATTTCGGGCATATTAAAATCCCCAGCGATTATTTTGTTAGTGTATGAGAGGTCAGCAATAAGAGAGAAAGTGTCCAACAAGTCATCGGTCACGGTGAGTGTAGAAGATGGGGGTCTGTAAATACAACCTACTAAGAGATTTGTTAGATTAATAGAAATTGTAATCCACACCGAATCAGGAAGTCTCTGGAGGAATGGTTCATTCAGAGGCAGAACCAAGTATTTGTCTTTGACGTAGGTTATACAGCCACCACCTCTACCATAAAGACGGTCATTACGAAAGATGTTATAACCCAGTATCCTGAACAATGTGTCAGACATCTCTGCTGAACACCATGTTTCTGTAATTAGTACTATATCAGGAGAAGAAAGGTGAAGAATATTACGCAGGAAGTGCATTTTATTTAACAGTGAATGGGAATTAATTAAAAGTAAGTGCAGTGTCTTGTTATCCGTTGGGTTGTCTACAGGAATCCAGGTACAGGACCCCAACGAGGTGGTATTTGGAGAGAGTGGAGTGGGGGTGGTGGATACGGAGGACATATAATTTGCGGAATTAGTGTCATTTGGGGGTTTGGCGGGTAGAACGCCACTGGACCCCCCAAAAAGGTTGGAAGGGTGAAATACTGGGAAAATGGCGACCCACTGGGAGATTACAATTTTCTGGCTGTTGCACATAACCTACGTGCCAGTTAAGGTTATTTACATGTTGAGGTAGTTTGAGAGGATTTTGGTTGGGCCAATTTCTCTCAGCTACTTGAAGTTCCCTAACAAGTGGCTCACAAGTTATGGAGCACACAGGTCGCATATTCAAATGCTGCATGGTTGGAGATATGCCGATTGTCTGCTGGTTTTCAGTGGTGACAGCGTTTGGTGGAATGTTTAAAATAGCTGTGTTTTTATTGTGTTTAGGAGCACCCGTGTAGATTCCACGTGAGGTTTTGCTACCAGTGTTCTTTGCAACAGGGCTGTTCCGCAGTTTTAAAGGTTCGCAGCTTTTAGGAGAGGAGGTTTTCAGTTTCGTACCAGAGCGTCTATGCACCTGGTTGGTGAACGACAAAGAGTGAGTAGAAATAGTCGTTTGCGCAATGGAACTTTCTTGTATGTTCGGGGACGAGTTGCGCGGTAATGCTGAACTAATGTGACACTGAATGGAGTCAGAAGCGATATTTTTATGACAGTTGCTATCTGATTTCAACCTAAGAGCTGATTTATTTATGATCAGAGTGTCATCTAGGTCAACCAGGTGGGGTAGTTCCTGAGTTTCCGTGGGTGGCGGAACATACTGATCACAGACTGTTTGTCGGAAATAGGCTTTTTTGCACTCCCTTTGTAGTACTGTTAAATCTGGTTTCAGGACCATGGATACGTAATCTTTCCTAAGGGACAGTGCGCTCCTACTACAAATGAATTTTTCAGCAAGTGTGTCGTTTGAAAATTTAAAGAGTACTGGACAGACCTGCTTCGGAGATTTCTTTCGCAGCCTCACACATTGATTGTCTATAGGTGATGAATTTCCACATACCATTCAAATCTCTCCAAAACTACCGTGTAAGCTTGTGAGTTCTTAATCTGTTCCACGCTTATTTCAAGATATTGAGGTCCCACTTCTCCTAGTCCTGAAGGCATGGTACGCTTCACTGACATACAAATTGACACATGAAGTCAAATAACAAAATGAGTTTAGTAGCTAAGACATACGCCTGCTGCCAAACATGCACAATAAGTTGTTAGCACTGGGGCAAACTCATTGTGTTCGCAAAAAGGGGTGGATATGCTACGTTTGTGTCCCTTCACTCCTACAACCGTAACTGGGCGTGACAGGCGTCTTCCTCCAACACCCTACAAGGCAACTTTGTAGACTAAAGAATAGCATAGACGTATCCTATACATTTGCCTAAGAACATTTTATACTGCATTCTTTTGGGACCCTAAGTGGTGTGTAATGTTACCAAGCGTAAAATGCACCACAATTCTGAGCGCTTTCTCATGGTCGGTAACTGCGCGATCAGCCTTCATGTCAGTCCGGCAAACGTAAACCAGTTACCACGTCACCCAGAATAAGTTACGCCATTTTCACCTCCTGTATGTGTTCATCAAGCTACACACTTTGTACCAGCAACCCATTCGCTGTCCTTCCCTGTGGATTTGCAGTTTGTTGTACCTATATCGCGGTGAGCCCATCGGTGTGATCCTACTTTGTCGACTATATTTCTATTGTTCATTTTTCACCCTAAACTGTTATGTTTTCGTTTTTTTTTACTCCTATTAAACCATGGTTCCAAGAACACCACGACCGCAGTTAGGAACCAGGTAGTCGGTAATTTTACTTACGGCGAAAGATCTATCCCTCACATCGAGCTCGACATCAGAGAGAAGGCCTTTGGTCTCGGGAAGTTGCATTGTCACTAAATTGCCGCTACATAGGCAAGCAGATTATGGCAGTCAGTTTCTGAAAGGGACCAGGAAAGTGGTATCCATGGTTTGCGTAAATAGGTAATTCTGGGAAACAGAATCATTTCACTAGTGGATATTTAAACCGATTAGGTACTGGGATAAAGCAATCTCAACTCTCCGTACATTGTGTAGATTACGACTATAGAACAGTGAACATCAATTCTGATTACTTGTTATTCCTTTTACAACCAGTCATCTAGGATAGCAACAGGTGCGTTCGAACACATATGTCCTCTATGCTCGAGCCGAATGGTTTTGCAATCCAACCTTGAATCTGCTTATCTCTCGGATGTTCAGAAGTAAGGTGACACATGATTTTCCATGTCTTAGTTCTCTACATTCGGTTCACTTGTCCGCATTCGTATTATCCGAAAGAGAACCTGGGCATCCAACATGCTCTACTGATATGTGAGCGATGAATGTGATGAACTATGGATGTCATAATACAGTGGCTGCCTTCGAGTAATTATGCGTCGGAATGTAAATGTATTTACGCGATACCGTGTGTCCAGAAAAGCCTAAGGGTTTTCGTACATGGTGGCACCAGATGACACTGGGGCCAAGATGATGCTTCGTCGTCGCAGCCGGGAAATAGCGGAACCTGTGCTGTCACATGTCTGATGCCTCGGTGAAATGTCAGGTCCGCTAGCACTCACTGCTAATGTCAACAGACCAGTCACCTACGGTATGCTCTTTCCGGCACTGATTACAAAAGGCTTCAAGCCACCGCTACACGGAACAGGGTGCACAGTCTTCGTGACAGTACTGGGTTCAAAGTTATTTCAAAGTGGAATGGGCTACTGCCCAACCACTGTCCAGCCTAAGTAGCACGCGTCCGTCCCCACTTCATATGGGTGATCTGAGTCTGGAAGAAGAGTGGATCCCATTCGCAGGTCTCATTGTCCTATTCTTTTGATTCGTGCTCGGTAGAAAAGTTATGGGTAATACTGCACAGGTAACCCAGCCTACTTATTCCCTCTGTAGGCGCGAGATGTCGCGAATACAGAACTAATACCGTCAATATGTATTACAAAGCACGTGCCATGCTAGCCTCTAACGTGCTCCGCGGTCGAAACTACCTGATTAGTGTAATTTCCGGCCTAGATTCCTGTGGATCCGAAAAAGCCAACTCGTCAACTAGGCACCGGTCTGACTTCAACGTCAAGAGGCGATCAGTTCATCGTTCGTACACTGACGCGGGTGAGTAGGGAAACGTTAGGTAGGAGCAATGCAGGACCATAAATTCACTGCGAATACTTTGATGCAGTTGAGCAAGCAATTCTTGCTACCGAGGTCAGGCGACCCATATAGTTTGGGGGAGGACCGGTATAAATGCTCCTACAAGTTTGACCTAATTCACCCCAAAGCGGTTGCTCGTTCTGCGACAGTCTGGGTGTGAGGTCCCCGATCTCAATAGTTGGCAAACAGGGACACGCGCATTTGGCGACCTGTCTGGTTGTATGCGCGCTCGCTATCTCGCTCGCTAACGCGCGCGGGTCGCCGGTCTAACTGCGATCGGAACGCTTGCTTCGTTGCGATTGGCAGTTGATTCCAATGTGGTTTGGGCGGCCAATGCCCTCTCGCCTCTTGCGCGCGCGTGCCCTGAAAATGATCGATACACCCCGCTCCAGCAAGTACAGCATAAGCTCAGAGAGCGGTAGAGGAGACCACATTCGTTGATTGGTCCGAATTGGCAAACCAATGAAGAAACCAAACTGCGGCCTGCATTTGGCCTACAGCGCCCTACCAATAGCTGCTATGTCTCCGGCTCCCGCCCTCACGGCTTGACGTGGCGGAATCAGTCTGGCTGCCCCAACCCGTAGGCAATGCACCTCCGTGGGACCGCACTTTGATTACGCTCTTCGCTCTGCATAGTCCCCGGTTAACCAAATCACTATGCTGCAACGTCCAACTCTGTTACCTAGCTCAATGAGGATGGTTAGTCGTTTGACGGATGCCCCGATCATATCTACTGAATTATCCTCCGAAGACACTAAACCTCGTCCCTTCGATACATTTGGTGATGAAGAGGTCGTTGTTGTTGAACCTACGGACCCCGACGAGGACAGACTCCTGCAAGAAGAACTGAATCGTGTTGCAGATTTAACTCCTTTTTCTACTTCCCTTCTCATCAACCGATCACACCCGCTAAGTAGTCTGCCGCCGACCAGCTCAAACCCTGAAGTAGGAAGGTGTACTAATCATCCCGTCGAGGCGATCCCTGTTGCCCAGTTAGTCGAGTCTCCTAAAACCGTTGACACTGTGTCCGTGACTGACGCTTTGCAATCCCTTTTGTCTGCCTCTGCTCGTGTGAATCAGTTTCATAATACCTCGATTCAGCCGTTACTAACGGCCAAAGTGAATACGAGTGCCAATCTAGTTAGCCAATGTGCAACTCCCACTCCCCTATCCACATTATGGTTACCCCCTTCTGGTACCACAACTACCATGGCCCCCACATCTTCATCAACCAATTCCCTCACAAGTTCTTTCGAGGACATCACTAAATTGGCTCAACACATGGCTCCTTTGAACCCACTGACTGCCGCTGTGCTTGTGAACTGTGCAACTGTGAATCTAATTGGTCAATTGGCCGGATCTCTGGTCGCTCCTGTCTATAACACAGGCGCATTCACGTCGTCAACTGGTTTGTTCCAAAATGGAGGCATCACCTTGAGCGGTCTACTTCCCACGCTACTCTCCAATTTCAACGCAAACGTTTCTCTCTCCGAGGCTTATGGGAGTAACATTGTTCGTACAACTAGTGATGCTAACCCACCGGAGCAACATGTGGTCACTCAACCGTCTAGTGACTCTACTGTGTCCCCCCATACTTGTCCCGCGACAGCTGCTTCATCGACCACACTCACTACATCCATGACTGAAACGATGAACCGAACTGCCATCCGCGTGAAACGTTTCAAGTGTTCTGCGCCGAACTGTAACTTGGCCTTCTACAGTCGTTTTAACCTCGCGGAGCATGTCCGCACTCATACGGGTGAGCGTCCGTTCACCTGCCCCGACGCGGATTGCTCGGCCGCATTTAAGCGTCGACGTGATTTGCGAGATCACTGGAACGCGCATCTCTCTCGCATGTCCAGCGCTACCATGACTGCGGACGCCGGTTCAAAAACAGACGCCATGAGTGAAAGTGAAGTAACTGTTAACCGTAACGAATTTCCAGATCGTTCCACCGCGTCTGTACCTGTTCATACCTCCATCCCGTCGTCTCCATTGGACGTTAATGACACCACGATAAAGATGACCAGTGAAACAGAGGTACCCGATGGTGACAGCGATGCGAACTACTTCCAGGCGGATGATCAGTCCACTATCGGCCGATACCGTTGCCCATTCCATGGATGTGACAAATCGTATGCCAGACGACACCGACTTAACCAACACGTCTCCTGGCATACGGGGGCTAAGCCATTCCAGTGTGATGAACCCAATTGCAAGATTCGTTATTATTCTGAAGGAGATCTCAGGAAGCACAAGTTGGCTCATCTGAATGCGTCGGACAGAAGCCACCGGCGTCGACACGCATGCCCTTATCCAAACTGCGGGAAGGCCTACTCCAAAATGAACAAGCTGAAGGAACATGTCCGATCGCATACAGGCGAGAGGCCATATGTATGTCGAGAGCCGGGCTGTGGGGCCGCATTTATTCGGCTTTACGGCGTACGGCGCCACGAATTGACTCATGTGTTTGGCCGCAGGCGTGCAAAGCGCCTGGCTCGTTTTCCGACAGCAGAACCGAGCACAGCGAACGTACTACTTGTGGAACCACCACCATCACATGTCCAACCTCCCCGGATTGAACAGCCCGCTCCCAGCGCGATAACGGACGCCGTTTCCAGCATTCTAGCCTCACTCGGACTGAGGCCTTCAGGCGCTAACGAGGTGACGCCAGACATCACGGCGTCCTCCAGTCCCCGTGCACTCCCCGCCATTGCTCCTAAAACAACCACTCCGGTAAGTCTGCGCCCTTTATCTCCTATTAGTGGGCCACCAGGAATGAGGCGACCCCATGTATGTCCCTTCAAAGACTGTGGAAAAGCTTTCCCGAAATTAAACAAGCTGCGTGAGCATGTCTGCCGTCACACTGGCGAACGTCCATATGTCTGTGATAAGTGTACAGCCTCTTTTGTACGAATGTATGACCTCAGACGCCATGGAAACATTCATCTGCGCGGAGGAGAGCCTCGCAGTGCTCACCGAGTTCTCGCTCCACGTCCACACGAGTTCCAGAACGAAGCTGCTTCCATTCCTCATACACCCATGCAACCGGAAGCTGAGACAGTCCCCGTGAACTGAGTTCGCTGCATTTCAACCCCCACACACATTGTGCCCATCGGATTCTCTCTCCCGACGGTCGGCTGTCTTGGCCCATCGATTTGTGGCACACCCTCAAAACCGCACCAAAGTAGGTTCTATCTCAGTGGTGATTGTTTTGTACTTCGTTTCCACGAATTTACTCCCATGCTTTCTGCGTGATATGTGACATCGTCCAGATAGACTTGGTTTTTTGTTGTCTACTTTCTTGTCGTGGTTTTTCTCATTCTCTTGTACTTTATTTGATTCTTCATCGACTCCATTTTATCACTGAACTCCAGGTGAATGAACATCTTTTACATGTTTGCGTGTTTAATTATGTGAATTCGATCAAGTACTGTTGTTCTTTGAGCGGGTTTTATTCCTTGCGGATGGGCCTTACTCCAAGGTGATCCCTTGTTCTGGAGGAGTTCTGCGTCCCTGTGTTTTTGGGCATGTTAATGTGCCTGGCATCCGATATTGGCTGCACCATTAAGTTACTCTAGACCTGAATTCCTTTGCTTGTAGTGAAAGCACTCTTACATCGCAGCCCGCTTGATTTACCGGGTGTTTTATTGTACGTTAGCTTATGCATCTAGCTGGTTTCTCATCCGGCATACAGCCATCAACTACTCGACCTGTCCTCGCCTGCACGCCGCGACGGACTGTAGTTGTGTGCTCCGTATACGATAAGCGTTTCTTACTACTGTTTCTGAGTCTGACGTTGGGTTCCAATAGCCCTATCATTTCTAGCCTATCCTACGGATTATGCATGTCGACTAGAGTTACCCTGAAGCGAGCGCTTTCACTACTGTTTGTTGCACCGATTATATTGAACAGCGAAAAAAATGGTTTTTCATTGTATATTCACGCTAACGCACTCCAGAGACTTCTAAACGAACTGCTCTAGCTGTGTGCCAACAGACGTGTTCTTCGTGTCTTGAGCTTGTCTGTTGTGTACTCAGTTCACATTCCGAACTGAAACAAACTGACTGTCACATCAGGTTCTCTACTATTCCGAATTGGACTGTGTCGTATCAAATTAGGTGTTGGATGACCTCTTGTTACATCTCAGGAGGAGTCTAGGGTCCGTTTGTTGCGTGGTTCCCACACATCAACGTCAGCACCGCAAGGTCGCATATGGGTACATCGACTAGTTTGATTTCTAGTTACTATTTAAAGTTGTGTGTACTTTGTCCCATCCTACCTTAATCTGTGGCTCTCTTGATTGCCCATTAATCTTGGATGGCTGACTACGCATACCGTTTCGCCGTGGCATTAGCTGTTTGGTACCCGATGAGTCAAGCCGGTTGGCAGTGCAGTTCAATGATCCCATCATCGTAGTGCAATGGAACCTGTTGTCGTGATTCGTGTCGCCACAACGAAAGGGATAGACGACTGGGGCGAGCTAGAATCAGCTGTATTAGGCAGTTTGGCGGGTTTCATTAGTCGCATTCAAGGCTTCACATTCGGTTACTAGAAATCGAATTCGGGATCCTGCCACCGCGTTAGGGCTTCTAGTCGTTTCGGTGTGAGCAGTCTCGAGGTTTACATCCAGAAAGACAACAGGCAGTAACCCAACTCAGTCCTTCGCTCAGATAGGCGGTCATGCATACTATAGCAAAAAGTGGATCATGCCCACATTGGAGCGATGACTTGTGCGTAGAGGCAGTGTTTACGTGTTTACGTATCCCACCGCATGGTCGCGCTAGATCTAAGCTGATAGACGTTCACTGAAGCATGTGCATTTCGACTCCATAGACTTACTTACTCAGCTACCGGATATTTGAGGCCAGCATCTTGGTTACCTGTTGTTGTCGTGGGATGTCGAGCCAACCATACGATTCTGTAGTCCAATGTGTTTGGATTCATTTCAAATGTATCCTGGGTTCCAGGTGAGTTTCAATGACCGAACGTCATCCATATCCACCGTGTCTGTGATCGAGTGGGCCCACGTACAGGTCAGCTGGTGAATACAACAGAATACTGTGATCCACGAAGGTGCTACAGTCATTGCTCCGCTGTTTTAGGAACCAAGCTTGGCTTCCAGTCAACCGAATAAATAGCCTACGTGTGATTTTGCTATACTTACTTGGAAATGTCATGGAAGGGTAGATATGGTCAGTGGAAAATCCCTTGATATGCAACTGTAAACGACGAGGTGCTGTTATAAGTTGCACCGTTTCTGTACTGTCAGAAATAGAGACTTAACATCTTCCCTGATGGTATATTCTAAGTTTGGAATGAAAGAGCTGGAGAAGGTAAAATAGGTCTGTGCTTCTACAAGAGTGCGCCACTAGTATCGGTCTGACTCATGTTTACGTAGCTCAGATATTCAGAAATCGCCGTACAGAGGTGCTATGCAATTTGCCTATGGAGGAACGAAATTGCAACTTTGTCCTCAACCCTAATGTCCACTGGCAATATGTTCCGTGCGTATGCGTTTCTGTTGGTGCCGAAAAATACTCCAGCGTGGCATCAGAGGATTTGTCTCCAACTGCCAAATCTCGGTATCCGGTATTGCCTACTCCCGGACCTGACCAACTATGGACCATAATGCGAGCATTGTCTTCAAAATCGACCGGTTTCTTAATATCCTCAGTACGCATGGTCCCCTATCTGGTCTATATGCACAACAGTGCTCCGCAATCTAATGGCTAGTTTCGAGCAGTCTCCATCAGTGATATTTTAAAAAGTGCTGACTCTTATAGTACACACCATGACCGGCTTAGTAGTGCACCTACCATACATAAGTCAAACACGGAGATGCTTAGATAACTTGGTCACTGCAATTTACTGTTCGATGACAGCACTCTGTTGGCGAGTCAGCGCGTTCTCGCAGCATTACATGACAACTTGAAGGAGTGAAGCACGCACCGAAGCGCGCAGTTTATCCGGCAGAACTTGTACGGAGCTCTTGTTCGACCGCCGGAAAGCTGAGTCGTGTGTGTACACCAAATTGTGTTGCCAACTTCCGTGAGAGCTGTTCCAGAGTAAGAAAATTAGTCATTTATTACCATTTCGTTTTCGAGCTTGAAGGGACATGTAGGTCTAGCACAATCCTGATGAACTCCGCCTGTCACGCGTGCCAGCACTGCACCTAATTTTGGAGCTGATGATTCACCCACCACCTTTCATTTGCGAACAACTGTACGCAATAATCCGAAATACTTGTAGCTTTGGTTGGCTGTCCAGCTATTGAGTTGCTCGCTGATCTGAGTATCTTGCTTGTGCGCGAGTTAGGTTCCTGTCAGGGTAGCGGCGGGCACTCGAATCCAGTGATAGCAGCTCAAACTTTTGAACCACGTAAGGAACTAAAAATACATTTTCGTTAGACTAATTTAAGCGCGACCAACTGGATGACGACGGAGAAGTTCGGATTGTTTTTTTTACCTCTTTGAGGAATACTGAGCTGGTTCCGTTATAGTCTCGATCTACTTGGAGTCAGCTTGTTAATGTCACGTCTTCGTCCGCTGATGTCGCCTCAACGGTAACAACGGCCTACCAACTGTTCGGCTACGTCCGGCAAGCGATCACTCCTATCCAAGACGTTCTATGCATGTTTGAGACGATGTATCCAACCGGATTAACGCGATTTGGTTGGTTCTCCGATACAGCCTTGTGTCTCGTGTTATACGTAGCATCCATTGGTGTGGCTGTTTTCTATTAACTGACTCAAGAATGGGCTCACTCAATTGATATCTGAATGTCATGATACTGTTACCTAAATAGTCCGACGGCGTTAGTGATTTTGCGTTTTACTAATTCGGATGACCGATTAAAAGATATTGTTCGTTCCCATTTTTTTCGACTCAGCCACCAGAGAGGCAGTGCACTCAGACAGGATTTTGATCAACACCTCTGATGTTCAATGTTTACCTTGCTTTTGTCTTATCAGTTCCTCATTAACAAATGCAACTTGGTGACTTCGTGGCTTGGCAAGTTTTACATGTATCTGTTGGGGCCCTAGCACAACTCAAGTCCATGTTGCGTAGCCGATTCATCTCTGCCCGTCCGAATGGACAGCAGCTCAATCGTCCTCCACTTTTGGGATGTTTTGGCGTACAATCATGGGTTATACACATACAACCGACTGTAGCGTGATAGTGATGGCGCGCACATCGAATATGGTTGATCCAATCGTTGTCCCCAAGTGGTCTAGCCATCCACAAGCATTTCAGGTGGCAACTCAGTCGCAGCTTTACTGACTACCCGTGTATACTGCGCGAACTCTTACTGATTACTATCTAAATCTTACTATTTACGAGACACCAAGTCGCATGCACCCTATGTGGTTTCGTCACGCTTCGCTGATATCCTATCACTTATTGCCCGTACACTCTCTGGTCTGGCTGATGTGAGAACCCTGCACGCATGTAGCTTCATCTGTACTGCTTGTAGGTGTTCTTCGAGACATCCACCACGAAGTGCCTATAATTAAGTGCATCCCCAACTTTACTGGAGCCATTTACAATGATGCTCACTTGATGCTACCTTTTCAACGTCAACTTTGTCTCTCAACTACTCCCTACCATTCCGAGGTGTATAACATTGGCCAGTAAAATCAGCTTCGGTTGGATTCATGGTTGTCTGTCGTGCTGTTATTTGTGGTCTAAAGTCACTTTTGGCGTCTGCTTCGTTCGACAGATAAGCTGCTTCGTTCCCCCTTACTTTCGTCATGGAAATGCTTGCGTCATCGTAGCCGTTCATTCACGGTGCTACCACTTAGTAACCGCCGTGGTGTTGATTTAGAGTGATTGCACCGCCTTGACATCCGTCACTACAGTGGTTCACATGCGAGTGGTTGTAATGGACATGACTGTGCTAACCAAGCGTTGGTGACTGCACATCTGGTGTTAGTATGGTGGGTGTGGCCCACTTGTTGATTTGGTCCACCAGCTGCCGGTTGTCACAAAAACAAGGCCCTTACGTCTGCCACTCGGCTTGTCGTCTGGCTTGATAGTCGCCATCGTGTGGTTTAATGCGGGTCAATAGGGCACTAGACGGTGTCCTGCTTGTTCACCGATGCAGTTCAGTGCGTTTTGTGGGTGCCCGCTTAGGTAACGAAAACGCAATGGAATGCTTTTGGAGTTGGACATCAGTGCCGTAATAAGCTCCATGTGATGTCGGTACACGGATGTGTATTGTGCAGTTAGTGCCCCATGCTGAGGCTGATGTTTCATTTATGATGCTTCTTCACCGCAGTTGGGCTAAACCAATTTGCCCTTAAACTAGGTCTTTTTAAGCTGGATAAATTTCATTCCACTTTATTTGGTTTGTTCTGCCTACGGAATAATCTTATATTAACTTACCACGATGCTTTCGATGATTGTGGACATATTCTTTAACTTTATTACGTTTGTAGCATTT